CTTTTTTTTTTTTTTTTTTTTTTTCAAATAATACTTTCATTCTTCTTTGTTCTAAATGATGATTGGGAAAAAAGAACATATCCTGTTCAAGTAAGGTCGTAACTTGGTAGTGTTCTTTTAATATCTTCCTTTTCCAGTGGATTTCTAATTCGTTGAACTAAATTCTGATTGTTCTGTTTGTAGAATAGCTATATTAGCTATACATTTTTGAAGTATGTTAGGAAAAATTATATAACTTGTGGGATGTTAGTGATTTGATTTAAGTTGGTTTATCATATTGTTGCCTGTTTGTATTGATATTCCTTTTCCCTGCAGTCTTTGAGCCTTACAAGGACAGTAAAGTAGATCTTCTTGGACCTAAGTTGCTGTTTATTGCCCTTAACCTCGGAGGCTTAGCATTAGGTGTTTGGAAGGTGAGTTTTCTAATTATTGTTCTCAGCATCTCTTTAGTATTTATCGATCGCTGCTTAATTTTCCGACGTTTCAAATGTGGCTCTTGCAGCTTAACACTTTGGGGCTTCTGCCAACTCATGTATCCGACTGGGTTTCGTCTCTACCGCCTGCACAGGTTAGAATCTTACTCCTATGCTAATATGATTACCCCTTTGCCCAAGCTTGAGCATGTCGCCTAAACTATTCGCAGATTTCAGAAATGATATATGGAATTTGTTCAATGGTGGTAATAGCTTCATACCCTGGCAGCTCATAGACTTCATGTTTCAATTACATGTCGTGGTAGTCAGATACAGTGTTAGGATGCAAGTTCCCCATGCTTTAATTTTTGTTACAATGCAATTTCTATTGTTAATAATCAAGATGAAATATTTTGACAATCGGTTCAGTCAATAGAATTTCTAGGTCATCTATTTGGCACACTTTTTGTGAGATACCCATCGATTGGAGATGGGACCAGAATCTTCCTTATAAGAGTGAGGAAACCTCTCCCTACCAGACACGTTTTAAAACCGTGAGGCCGCGACTGACAGCGATACGTAACGGGCCAAAGTGGACATGCGGTGGGCTTGGGCTGTTACACTTTTTTAAGGAGAGTTAACGCATTTCTAATGTGGATTGAGTTGCGATTGCAGCGGAAAGGTCGGTTGTAGTTAGCTTTACTTCAGACTGTTATTTGGTTGGGTTGGTGGGATGGGAGAAAATAGGAGAAGGGAAGAATAAGGTAGGAGAGTCCTCACTTAAGTGGTCAAGACATTATCACTTCGACCGAAAAGTCAGAGATTCGAATCTTACCCCATGAAATATGAACTCAAAATAACGGATGAGATAAGTTGTGAGGAAGAATCATATACTTTGTACCTGTCTATCCTAAGACTACGATAACTATAAACTTCAAAACAAAACAATAGTAATTTTGTCTTTTCATTCAACAAACGTTTGGAGTATGAGGATAACACTAGTTTTGATCAATGTCATCACCTTGGAACTTTGATGTTAGTTAGTCCTTCAATCCTTGGTACCATTGCTAAAGATTCATAGTCGTTTTCTCTCTCAGGATGTCGAATTTTCTGGTGGTGGCGTTTCTCTTCGTTAAGGTACACACCTCTTCGTCTGCTAACGACTGTGAAACCCGACGGAGCTGCTTGTTGAAGATTGAATGAATATCATGGGCTGATTGCTTGTGTTGTGCAAGAACATGATGGTATCTCTTTATATTACTCCTGGATGGATTCTGCTTGATCAAGAACAATGCTTTACAGATGTGCTGAAGGCACAGCTATTATTTTACTTAGGATGTTACTGACCGGTAAAACCATCTCACACGGTATGCTAATATGCCTTGGTCTCTGTAGGCCCGGGAACAAAATGCTTTACTTGGAATACGATTAACATATTTTGATTTTTTTTTTTATTCTCTTATGATTAACATAGTTTTAGCGTTTTTATTTGGTGCAAATAAAATTTTGTAGATAAATTTATGGAATATAATTGATTATAAAATATAAATGAGAACAATAATCAATATTGATATGATATTTTTGGAGTAAAATAAAAAATACTGTAGTAAAATAAAATTTCCCTCATATTTTTTTACCATTTATAGCTTCGACCTTAGATAGGTGAATTTTTTCTTCATGTAGTAGGTGATGTACTCTTGTCTTTGGTCGTGACAATACTTGATGTGGTTTGATGGGGACACACATATCATCACCAGTTGTTCACTTTGTGGGGGTCATGAGCTACTCTCTCTTTTAGTACTGTAGCTCGTTTCGAATTGAAATGCTATAAATCTTGGGAATGTAATTATTTCTATATATTTCAACGAACATTGGGTCATTAGTGGAACAGACTTCTTTAGTACAACACGTGAAGTTCAAAACTTCCACGTTAAGAAAATAACGAGCATTTTTATTTACTAAACTACCCTCAAATTCACATTTAAGACACAATTATGAAATTCCTCTAGGTTTGATTTAGGGATTGTAAGAGAGACCAAAGAAACTCGGCCCATTATATGATGGGCCTGAAAAGGGGAAATAATGGAATGGTTGTATTACGAAGTCTCACCAGTCAAAAGGCACCGCCTTTCCTTCTTCGCCGAGTCCTTCCATTTTCATTCCATCCAAACACACACGAGCTCTGTTTTCCCTTCACCTCCCCTCTCCACGATTTTCCCTTCATAAAACGTGGGAGATTGATTCCTCAACCCCAAGTCCTAAATTTCCTCTTTAAGAACACATTACATTTCTTTCCCCCATTTTAATATAAATCATCCGTTTGATTTGTAAGATACAAATCTGTGGTTCTGTGCATCTCTTTTTGAGCATGTTTCAAAGAAACCCATCTTATTCTAACCCAACACCATGCAATCATCTAGCTGATTACAAGCTCAGATATGGCTTAAACGGCTATAAATCCTTTCAAAATCACCTTAAAACTACCCCAAATGGAAGAACTAGTATTCAAAACCCCGATTCGAAGCTACCCAGATGCGGTTCTTGCGATGGGTATGAAGGGAGGCTCTACATATGCTTGATTTGTGCTTCAATCTCTTGCTCAAATCATACCCTTCTTCACAACCAGTCCGAAAACGGCCATGATTTGGCCGTCGACGTTGAGAGAGCGGAGCTTTATTGTTATGCTTGCTCCGATCAGGTTTACGACCCTGATTTTGATCGGACGGTGATGTCGAAGCACATCGTCGCCGCCGTACTGGAGAAATCGCAATCGGCGGAGAGATCGAGTAAGAGGAGGAGATTTGGATCGATAGATTTATTGGATTTGAAGAAATTGAAACCGTTGATGTCTGTTAAAGATCAGCGGTCGAAATCGTGCTATCCTTTGGGATTGAGGGGATTGAATAACTTGGGGAATACTTGTTTTATGAACTCTGTTCTTCAAGTGTTTCTTCATACTCCGCCTTTGAGCAATTACTTCTTGAATGATCAGCACAACAGGGAAACTTGCAGCAAAAGACCCATTGGGCAGCTGTGTTTACCTTGTGACATTGATCGTATTTTTTCTGCTGTGTTTTCTGGTGATCATATGCCTTATAGTCCAGCTCAATTTCTTTACAGGTCTGCCATTGTATCATTTGTCTCAATTTCTTAATTTTCTCTGTGAGTTTACTGATCTGTAACTGGTTCTAAATTTTTTAGTTCGGTTGGTTTTAGGGTTCGAACGGTTTGACTGTTTGGTCAAGATTATATGTCTTAACTAGTTGAGTTATGGCGGGTGGGTGGGTGGTTTGGAATTATGTATATGGTTTGGAATTATGTATATATTCTAACTATTAGCTTAAACTTTTAAGTTAACGAGTGATTAACGTGTATCGATGTCGAGTTTATACGTTGAACTACTGCCATGCCATTGCCTGGATTGTTTTGATTGATCTATCTGCTGCTTTCAAATCTGATGATTTTGGGGTATTTTCTAAACTTTTCAAATCTTGTTTTCAAATCTCTAAGTTGGTGGCAGCACTCTGCAAATTTAGCATTTTATGAGCAGCAGGATGCCCATGAGTTCTTCATCTCAGTTCTAGACCGAATCCACGAGCGAGAATGGAAATCTAGGAGCCAAGATAAAGGTGATATGTTACTTTCCTTTTTTTTCTTTCGCCTAAGTCCACTGCTAGCAGATATTGTCCGATTCGCCTGTTACGTATCGTCGTCGGCCTCACGGTTTTAAAACGCATTTGCTGCTAGGGAGAGGTTTCGACACTCTTATAATGAATGCTTCGTTTCCCTCTCCAACCGATGTGGGATCTCACAATCCTCCCCTTCGTTCCCCTCTCCAAACGCTTCTGGCTCTGATACCAATTGTGAGATCCCACATCGGTTGGGAAAGGGAATGAAGCATTTCTTATAAGAGTGTGGAAACCTCTCCCTAGTAGACGCGTTTTAAAATCGTGAGGCTGACAGCGATACATAACGGCCCAAAGCGTACAATATATGCTAGCAGTGGACATGGCTGTTACATTAATGTTTAAGCCTTATTCTATGCCTGTCACATCTAATTTGGCTGCTTCGAATGCTCTAAAGTTTCGGGTGGTTAGAGATTTCTCTGTGAAGAACACGTTCATGCTGTTGAAATAAGTACCATTTTGAGTTAATGAATAGAAACGATTGTTCTTCGTTTGTTCGGAACAGTGTTTAGTCGAACTAAGATAGATAAAAATGGGTATTAGAAGTTTGAGTAGAGACTAGACATGCATTTACCTTAACTTGTAAAGATCATCTGAATTTGGATTCCTTTTCAACAGAGAATGGGGACTGCAAATGCATTGCTCACAAGGCCTTCTCTGGGCAGTTGAGATCAGACGTGACCTGTATGACCTGTGGATTCACTTCAACAACTTACGATCCATGTGTGGATATTTCACTTGACTTGGACACCCACGATTTCTTGTCTAGAAATATTGCTAGCAAGTCGACGAAGCCCGTGGATTCCAGCAGTAAATCTACGCTATCTGGTTGTTTGGATCTTTTTACGAGACCCGAAAAGCTGGGATCGGACCAGAAACTTTTCTGCCAGAATTGTCAAGAAATGAGAAGTTCAGTGAAGCAAATGTCTATCAGAAGGCTGCCATTGGTCTTGTGTTTGCATATCAAACGATTCGAGCACTCTTTTGTCAGACGAACGTCGAGAAAAATTGATCGGTATTTGCAGTTTCCTTTCTCCCTCGACATGATCCCGTATTTGTCGTCTTCGATTATCAGAAACAGATATGGGAATAGGATTTTTGCTTCTGAGGGAGATGAAATAGATGCTTCGTCGAAGTTTGAGATTTTCGCTGTGGTTTCTCATTCGGGGACGCTCGAGTCTGGTCATTATGTGACATACTTGCGTCTGAGAAGTCAATGGTATAAGTGTGACGATGCCTGGATCACCGAAGTCGATGAGGAAATGGTGAGAAATTCTCAGTGTTATATGATGTTTTATCTACAGAAAATACCAAACTACAAACTGAATGAGGATTTGAGCTGCCTTCCTATTTCCCCGCGCAACGATACATTCCAACAAATTGCTGGTTGCTGTTAACAGCGGGATTCGTCGAGATTTGCCGAAGTTTTCCATATTATGCATCACACATTGAAGGCCGACTAAGGATCAAAATGAAAATCAGTCCTTCAGAAAATGACTTTTTTCCGAGATCGACGCATATTCTCTTCAAGAAATCACAACCCTGAATGTTTCTGCAGTTGTGCAGGCAGCGCCAGAATTTCGTCACAGGGAACGTGATGTTAAGCTGGTCGCTAAGGCTCAAACGGCAGGACGATATGATATCGAAATATCGAAAACGTTGTGGATTGGTATCTTGAAAGATGAAGATGGGTACTACAAATTGGTCATGTGTATGTCAAAATTTAAAACTTTATACAAGTTTATTAAAGGCCTCGCTCATCAAGGGAAGTTCCAATGTCTGCATAGTTCAAAATTCTGTCTTTTTGGATCAATGAAGAGAATTGTTCATTGCAGATACGAGGGTAGTTGAAAAAAATGCCTTTTTTTTTTTTGGGTATTTTTTTTTATTATTTTATTTTTTAAAATTTATTTTAAATGACAAACTTATTTGCCTTCACGATTATAAATATGTTTTTTTTAATCTCTACCATATATTTGGAAAATTTTCAATTAAACATTTTTAGATTATATATTTCTCAAATGTTTTTCAATTGATACAATTTTTTAAACTAATTTTTTTTTTGTTAAGGTTTTTTAAAATTAACTTAAAATCATTACCTTTTAAAGCTATATATATATATATATATATATATATATATATATATTCATTTTGTTTAAAAATAACTGATAAATTAGATATAAAATTAATTGCAATTTTTAAAAATATTTTTTAAATGAGTATGTTCAATACAAAAATGGAAATTCAATAAAATTATTTAACTTCCAAAATCAAAATAGTTAACTTAATTATTTCACTTTAAATTTATTAACAATTTTTTTTTTTCAAAAAGAAAAAATGGGACGCTGCTGAAGAATGCTGGAAATGGGCCTGGCCCATTAAACTTGAAGCCTAAGAATATAAAGTGCCGTGTATGGCAATAGGCACAAGTTGCCTCCGTGACCAAACAGGTCTGGAGTTTTTCGCTCCTATCCCGGATTAGGGTTAACTCTTCCGACAAACAAGATTTCTTAGGCGCCAACTGACTCATTGCAATTTCTTCTCAGTAGAGCAACAACTAACAGGTTAAAGCAAACCACCATTTATCCCGCCGTTTAAATCTCTCCCTTCAAATCTTCCATTGCATTTGTTCTATCTTCTTTCCCTGCTTGTTTTTCTCTTTGCCGTCGGACAATGCTGTTGTTGGACTGCGAGTTTTAGAGTGTTTTTGTGATACGAAAACGTTCTGGCATTGTATTGAATATGATCGGAATCTTCAAAACTGTGTACTGTAGCAATCTAGAAGAGGAATTTGTTCATGATCACGTTATTTTGGAGAATTTGTTCATGTTTTCGTTAATTTTAGTTCATCATGGATTTAGAATTCTGAGGGATTTTGATCAGGCAGGGTTGCATGGAGATAATGTAGAAGTTCCTCTTGCAATGAATACCTAGTTTTTATCTTTGGATTCCATTTTCTGACTCTTATTGCCCGCAGCTGCTTCGTGATCCTCCATTGCATCATCTTGCATGTTAACATTCGTTAGCAGTGTTCATGACTTTTAGCGGTTCATTGCATCTATAAAATTATTACCAATTGCAGATTAATGGCCAATTTTTATTTTGCTGGTGGTGTGAAAATCTTTTAAAATCTCCTAAGGGATCGACAAGGAATCTGTGAGATCCCACATTGGTTGGGGAGTAGAACGAAACATTCTTGGTGTGTAAACCTCTCCTTAGCAGACACGTTTTAAAAACTTTGAAGGGAACCCCGAAAGGGAAAGCCTAAAGAGGACAATATCTTTTAGCGGTGGGCTTGGGCTGTTACAAATGGTACTAGAGCCAGACACTGGGCGATGTGCCAGAGAGGAGACTGAGCCCCGAAGGGGGGTGGACATGAGGTGGTGTGCCAATAAGGACGTTGGAATCCAAAGGGGGTGGATTGGGGATTCCACATTGATTGGAGAAGAGAACGAGTGCCAACGAGGATGCTGGGCCCTAGAGAGGGGTGTATTGTGAGATCCCACGTCGGTTGAAGAGGAGAAAACATTCTTTATAAGGGTGTGGAAACCTCTCCCCAGCAGACGCATTTTAAAAACCTTAAAGGGAATCTCAAAAGAGAAAATCCAAAAAAGACAATGTCGGCTAGCAGTGGGCTTGGGCTTGGGCTGTTACAGAATCCGTAGTGTCTATTAGAATTCTTTCGTTTTTTGAGAACTCAATGATCTTTTTTGAGTTTTTGAATACTTGCTTCTCTCACGTTCTTATTTACTCATGAGCATAGTTAAAACTTAGTAGTTAAGTCGTTCATATGACTAAATTATAAATCATGTATTATGAGTTTTTTCTACTCACTGGATGAGTCATCTTAGATTTTTTGTGATATCTAGAAGAAGCAATGGGTACCCAAACTATTCCAAGCCATGAACGCTCCAGAACATATTGGACACCAGTAATGGAACGTTACTTCATTGATCTTATGTTGGAGCAGCTTCACAGAGGAAACAGGAGTGGGCACACTTTCAACAAGCAGGCATGGACGGACATGCTTACAATGTTTAATACAAAATTTGGATCTCAGTATGATAAAGACGTTTTGAAGAGTCGCTATACAAATCTGTGGAAGCAATTCAATGATGTTAAGCATCTATTAGGTCATGATGGTTTTTCGTGGGACGAAGGTCGACAAATGGTAATTGCTGATGATCATGTATGGGACATTTACATCCAGGTGAAAATTTTTTAATTACGAAGAAATAATATGAAGTGTGATAATCTTGCTATGATTTTAAACGACGACGTAATTTTTCAGGTGCATCCAGATGCACGATCCTATAAAACTAAAGCGGTACTGAACTTTAGCGATTTGTGTCTGATATATGGATACACTAATGCTGATGGAAGATACAGTCGATCGAGTCACGATATAGACTTTGATGATGAAATCCAAGCTGTAAATACAGGTAAAAATGTTTTATGGTACATGAGTAATGGTGCTCTATCCCCGGTCTGTTCAATATCATTTACTCTATTCCCGGACTTGCCCTTAAGTTTCAGGTGATGCCATTGGTTGCGTTGCCCCTCCTGATCGTCCAAGGACGGATTGGACGCCCGAAATGGATCAGTATTTCATTGAGCTTATGCTAGACCAAGTAGGAAGAGGCAATAAGGTGTCGAATACTTTCAATAAGCAAGCGTGGACAGATATGCTTGCATTGTTTAATGCTAAATTTGGTCCGCAACATGGTAAAAGGGTGTTACGACATCGATTTAAGAAATTATGGAAATATTACTGTGATATTATGAATCTACTTCAACAAAATGGATTTTGCTGGGATGAAGTACAACAAATGGTTGTGGCTGATGATGATATTTGGGATGCTTATGTCAAGGTACATTTTCATTAGCTTTTAAACATTATTTTTATTGTCCATGCTTATTATTTTTCTTCGAGTGTTTTAATGGACTTTATTGAATGCAGACGCACCCGTTTGCACGAAGTTATAGAACGAAAGAGTTGCCGAACTACTATGACTTGGTTCTCATATATGGGAATGTAATTGATAGTGAGAACCAGAATCATTTGCATCTAGATAAGAACCTTCCAAACGATATATCAGAGGTAAAGGGTGGTGAGTCACGAGTTCTTTACAAAGCTATCGAGAACCAATTGATACCTTACATTGGAGATTATCGAAGGAAAATGTGAGATCTCACATTGGTTAGAGAGGGGAACGAAACATTCCTTTTAAGGGTGTGGAAACCTCTCCCTACTAGACGCGTTTTAAAACTTTGAGGGGAAGCCTGGAAGGAAAGCCCAAAGAGCACAATATTTGCTAGCAGTGAGCTCGGGCTGTTACTAATGGTATCAGAGCCAGACACCGAGCGGTGTGCCAACAAGGACGTTGGGCTCCCAAGAGGGGTGGATTGTGAGATCCTACAACGGTTGGAGAGGGGAATGAAGCATTCCTTTTTAGGGTGTGGAAACCTCTTCCTAGTGGACGCGTTTTAAAACCTTGGGTGAGAGCCTAAAAGGGAAGTTCAAAGAAGACAATATCTGCTCACGGTAGGCTTGGGCTGTTACAGAAAAGGAACTTAATCGATGCTTATCTGCATGTTGCAACCTAGACTATGCACAATTGAAATAAACTCATTTATCCTTTTGCTTTCTTAATGAACTAGGTTAGATAAACATCTGCTGGTAGTTTTAGAAATTCTTGACGGACGATATACCGATACTGAACTTCGTATATTTTTCTTCTTTATGTTTTGTGTGTAGTTCAAACTCCAAGTGAATTTTGTCATAAAAGTATTATGCACCTGCAGGAGAATCAAATGCCAACTGTCAGCGACCGCACCCGAACATATTGGACGCCCCCAATGGATCGTTACCTCATAGACTTGCTACTTGAACAGGTGAATAGGGGCAATAAAATAGGCCAAACGTTTGTAAGTCATGCTTGGATCGACATGGTTACCACTTTCAATGCCCAATTCAGAGCTCACCATGACAAGGATGTGCTGAAAAATCGATACAAACATTTGAGAAGGTTGTATAATGAAATAAAGATTCTTCTCGAACAGAGAGGATTTTCATGGGATGAAAATCGTGAAATTGTTACTGCTGACGACCATGTTTGGGATGCTTATACCAAGGTTTTCATTGCTCTCACTGAATAGCTTTCTCTTTTTTTTTACCCCTTTTTTTTAACCCTTTCCTTTTTGTGCTTATGTATTAAATGCACAGGATCACCCTGTTGCCCGATCATATAGAGTCAAAACTGTACCAAGCTATCACAAGTTGTGTTTTATATTTGGTGAAGAGAGTTCTGACAGAAGATATAGCCGTTTGGCCCATGATACCGATCCGAGTAATGAAGTGCCTGTTCTTATGACTGGTATGTATAATCAGTGATATAATCTCAATTACGAGTTCTGTTGCTCGGAGACTTGAAAATATGTTGCTTGAATACTTCATGTTTTTGTATTTTGTAGATGAAAGGAAAAATGATCAAGTTCCTGCTGGACCTTCACCCATGATAGATTGGACACCACAGATGGATCGCGCTTTTATCGATCTTATGCTTGAACATTCGCAAGAAGGAAGTATGTTCAGTCAAGCGTTTAGCGAGCAAGCATGGAGTCACGTGATTATATCATTCAATGAGAGGTTCAAACTTCAATGTGGCCGATCTGTTCTAGAAGATCGTTATTTATGGTGGATGAAGCAATATGGCGAAATCTACAATCTTCTCAATCACGGTGGGTTCATGTGGAATGAATCT